ACGAAGGGCGTCTGGCAATAAACGACTGCTCCGGACTCTATCTCTGTGGCAACTTTATATAGCCTGATTGATTCGCCGCCTGTTCTCCTGATCCTCCAATCGAAGCGGTCTTGGGATTCAGCTTTACGTGGTCTACTGCATAAGTAGAACTCACAGCAGGAAGGAATGTAGACGTTACTGAGGCCCACTTATGCTGCGGCTATCCGCGATAGAGGCGGCCATACACACCTGGCTTAGAGCATTGTTTTAGGTAATGGTGCAGATGGAATCAAAAAATCCAAATCTCGACAATTGACGAAGATCAGGCAAGCAAGTGAGGCAAAAGCCTAGTAGTCAAATTAGAAAGAACCAATTAAAAGGTCGAGTGAACTCGACGCGTAACGGTACTTCACGGTCAATACTGGAGGGACGAGCTCAATTTTCTTTTGTGCCAAAGTGGAATTCTGCTTATTTCCTGAAAGCAAGAGCAGTGCAGTAGGAAATGATACCGTCTTCTCCCCAGTCGTCATGCCATGAGTTTGCGATAGTCCAGTACTTCGTGCCATTTTCGACTCCCCATCCGATGATTTTCACAGCATGTCCTCCAGTTTCTTTGCCACCAGTGTGCTGGAAAATTGAAACTGCAAGTAATATAAAAGTCACATATGAGCATTATGCGGGGTGCAGCTTGAACTGAAGCGTCTCTCACTATTCATCGCTACTGAGATAAATAAAATCATCCCGAACACAGACGTGAAGACTGCTTACCACATATATTCCTTTTTTGTAGAAGGAGAAGTCTTCATAAACGGTAAAAGCGGCTTGAACTGGTCCATTTATCATAATTTCCTTTTGAATCGCTTTTTCGTCGGTATCAAGAATGCGTGCAGTTCTTGCTGAATACACACTTCAAAAAAGGAACAAATTGAACTTCAAAGTGGGATCAACCGAACAGTAGGGTAACCAGCCAAGCGAACGTCTAAATGGTCGCTTATGACTGCATATCCAAGCTTTCGTAGGTGTACCTCATAAAATGAAAGACTTGCATAACAGTTCTGCAATGCCGACCCATGCTGATCAGATTCATGAAATCAATCAAGAAGCTATAGTGCTTGGCTTAGAAAGCATGATGACAGTGCACGAAAATAGCTGATTCGAACAGACCAAAAATCTTGTCCTTTTCGTAACGCTTTCCATATCCATATTGGCAATATTTCTTGCACACCGGCGTTACATACTCATGGTCTCGTGGGCAAGAGTAAAACTGTCCGTGGTGAAAGCCACACGGATGGAAAGGATACGGTCTGCAGACTCCCTGTAAGATATTTTACGATAATTTTTACGGTTGTTCCAATCGTAACTGATTATTACGCATAAAAGTGGTTAGGGATGTCTCAAAGGGGCATGGTTTTTCGAGTATTGATATCAAAACGAAGCGATGAAACAGTTGCTCACAATCTGTCAGACTTTGAAATTTATCCGACCCACCTTTGCTTTATATCCTCCACCAGTGACCACGCCATATGTTAGTGCAAAAGCCCAGGCTTCGTGGGCGTAGCCTCCGTCGCACCTGTGAGTGAATTCCACTGATGATATCCAAAAGGTCAAAGGTTTCCAAAATGGGGAGCTATCTTTCGGAATATCAGTTCTAGCTTCGTTTCTTCGAATCGAGGTTCTTTCTTTTGAATGAGTAGAAAAATAGAAAAATAAACTCAAGAAATTGAAATGTTATTCGGTCTCAACGACTATTTTTTCGAGATGTTGCCCATGCAGGTGGTGTGGTGACATGTGGCTCATTACCACACATCCATGATTCGAAGACCGAATTACAGATCTACAATGGACCAAATCTTCCTTCATTCTGTAGTTGCTTAGCTGGAACTAGACACGGCTAGAAGGAAGAAAGCACTGACTTGTACATCGTCTAGACCGAGCAATTCAACAGACTACAATAGCAGCCCGCATACGCATTAAACAAACTATCACGATTCTGAATGACAGTCAAATCTCAAAGACGACTTTGATTTCTACACTGAAGATTCCCTTATTCTCTCTTTCTGATGTTCTAGTTTTGCTCTATAATTTGCATGCATAGTCGCTTCGTCGTGATGAGTGTTATATTCAGAGGACATTTGTGAAGAAGCTTGGACACTGAGTAGTAACAACACTGTCTGTAATGACATGGGTATTTAGCAGAATCGCAACGACGCAAATCCCCAGTGAGAGCAAATTAAGTAAACCTACCCATAACCTGCTCTTCACGTTTCGTTGATGTTTGTGGCTCTGACCTTATATAGTAATTATGTATTTGAACGAGGATAACTCGCAAATCATACGATTTTGCAGAAGTATCGATAAATAAGAAAAGATTTAGTTCCAAAACAGAAAAGAAAGAATCAAGAGAATAGGTCAAAGTCATCTATAAAGAAGGTTCCACGCAGGCGAAACTAGAAAAAGTATTCGAAGTTCTGTCAGAAAGGTAGATGCGCTCCATTAGAGGTGCCTGCGAAGGATCAGGAAGATACTATACGTGGACTACATCACAGACGTGGAAGTTCTGTGCCGCTATGGTATGAATAGCCCCAACGTGATTGTGCTACGGCGGAACTTCGATTGAACGTTGACGTATGCCATAGCAGCGGATCCCAAGAATGGCCGTGTTCTAGTCACCTCTAAGAGCCAAACGAGAGGAGGCCATCCCAGAAACACGTAAAGAAGAAAATTTGACAAAGAACTAGAAGTCATGAATGTTTCCGAGGTCGGACAGTAAACTCACCCATAACCGCAACTTAAACCACAGCATGAGAGTATATCGACGTCCGAAATGATTTTCTGGAAATCGAAATTTTCAGCCACTTATTGCAGTACAAAATGGAAAATAGAAACATAGCTCTGCTCATTATTGTTGAGGAATTAGGTATCGATGTGCCCTCAATGTAGTGATCTTCATAGCAATGAATAGATAAATTTCTAAAACTGTGTTATCTCACACTCTAGTTGGATTTTACCAAAAGTGCTGCCAGTCTTTCGATCTATGATCAATCATCCCTCCGCCACCACCTGTATTACCTGTATCCGATTTGTTCTCGCGAATTTCGCCATTTACGTCCAGTCGACTTTGAGCCATGTTTTCCTGTCCTGTGTTCGTCGACTTTTGTTAGCCGAGCATATTCATACCTGATCGACCCACCTCATTTTAGGTCTTCTCGGTGCTCGTTTGTTATCCAGCGGAATCTAAGTAAGCCAATAAAATCCATCGAATCCCTTCAGAACGCGCAATATGACCAAAGCGCTCTTGTTTCAGTTTTACACCTCCTTTATAATATCAACAGGCCACTTCGACTTCACAGTTTGTGATTCATAAAGTGGTACTTTGTAAATTCTGCGCTCCATTGATCTCTGCATCACAGCGAATTTCTCTTTGTCTGCTTTGGTGGACGACCATGCAACGTACAGCAGTGCGGGTACCACCGTGATGCGAAAAGAGGACGCCTTCGATTTCATCGGAAGGCCATCCTCTCATAATAACGTTGAGATTCTGCTGAAGCTAGACCAAGCTATCTTCCTGTGCCTGCTGTACTATTCGCTATTGCTTTCAGTTGAGCGAGCTTATGTGCAGGCACTAATAGCTTTTTACTTCACCTTACTTTTCACTTTTGCTGTTTACTCCACTTATCGCTTCACCACTTACTTTGGCTGCCGCCGTAGGGCTGATCTAATCGTGCATCCACTTCGTTTTTGACTAATTTATTTTAGGCCCAACTTCACTTGATTTCCTCTGTAGTTGCGCATCTTTCTATTGGTGCTTTGAAGCATCATGTGCAGAAATAGCGCATTCGTCAGTAAAGGGCCGATGAGCCATCTCTATATCTTCCAACCGGTCATGATCACTGAACAGGGTTTCCAAAGCTAGTACAAACTATGTCGACGATATCGCATCACCTTGTTGTACGCCCTTGCATATTTTTATTTGATATAGATCACTGAAGACAGATGACATAGACATGACTTCATTTCTGTAGTACAGCCACTGTACAGCTCTTCCAGAAGAGATTAATATCACTCATACTCATCGCATTTCGCACATAGAGGTGTCCCATACTCTCCGCATTTTGGTTAACTGGGGTACAACGTAAGCTATACGGAGTATGCACTATAAAATCTTATTTGACTTTTAGAAAAACCGTATCGCCCGTGACTTCTTCCAAGCTTTCTCAATGAAGTATCTGTTGAACTAATCCTACAGCGCAAAAGAGTAATACGCCTGCATTCAGAAATTTGCGACGGACGTTCTTCACTGACACCTGTGCGTGCTTTCCCAGTTCCACAGAGTACACACCGCTACCATTCATACACATACACATTGATGTAGTATGATATGTGGAAGGCACTGAGCAGTTTTTGCTATCTAAGATTTCCAATATGGCTTTATAAATTGGTATCATTTTCTGTTATTCTTTATCTGCTCTCCATTCCAGTTTCACGCGCCTTAGTGAATCTCATGGCCTGGTTTTATTTCCTGAACAACACCGATACACCCCACATCAACCACTGCCTCTTTCCTTCTACCAAATTTCCTACCTTCGGTTCAAGCTGCCGAGCATCTACGAGCCCGGCACACTCTTATATCAACTTTGAAGGGCCATGACACTGTTGACATTGGGAACGTAACGAGCCATGGTTCTACCTAAATCTTGAACAGGTAGTATTACATCCTGTCATCCGTGATCATTGTTTACATTTAACCCCTTTTCTCAACCTTTCGATGTTACGAGCTTCAGGTTCTTATGCAGCGGAGCTTAGAACATTTGTTTAAACACATACACTCGCACGTACCCGTGTACACGTACACATATGTATACACTTGCATACACATTCCACGCAGGCAAACACACACATTTAGGAACATTTGGACTTAAAGCCAGTAATATGACCTGTACTCTGCCTCTTGTTTGCACACAAATGCGATCGGACATTGCTGATGCAGCTGAGACCGCCCAGCATGAGCCTGCAATGATTGGCTCAGAGGAGGATTGAATGTACTATAAGTAGTTGGAGTCGATGAATCGATGCAAGACATGCGCAAGAGCTATGCACATCCTTTTATAAAGATATGTACATTTCAGAAAGGATTTCTTTTGGGGAAAGAATGAATCAACCATCGTACCACATTGCGACTGGTCCCGGATGTACGTTATGGACGAGCAATTCTTCCATACTATCCGAGAGTCAAAGCTGAACAAGAAACCATTCAATAGCACTCAATCTAATTCGACAACGGTGAAAAGTAAAGAGAAGTTGACGTAAAGAGTTAATAGAGAAAATATTCTTCTTCGAAATTTGTCTCCAGAATATTGGAATTTACTTTCAAAATAACAATAACGAGAATACCTCCTATAGATAGTTTGTGTAGATGACATGTATGTATGTATGTATGTATGTATGTATGTATGTATGCATGACCTGTATTTCTGACATACATATTCGTAGACTTAGAGCTTTTAATTTTGGAAATGGTGGAGTGACGGGATCAACGCTTCCATTGGGAGGCAAGAGGTGAAAACATCTGCGGGTGGTTGATAAAGCGTAAAAAGTCATGCAAGAGTGCAGTGCAAAAAGTACGAGAAAGTGGTGAGGAGAATTCGGTAAATTAGATTATGGTCACTACCTATCAAGATTTATATCCCGATAAATGACCACGATTTCTTCATTCTGCCATTATTTGTTACAGAATCCATATTACCACTATTTATGGCCATATATGAAACTATATGATAACTTCGATCAGTAGTTTACAACAACAAATGAAAAAGGTCGAGGTTAAGCACTCGTGATAATGGTGC